GTAGATTGATGGGGAATGTGTGGTTGAAAAATAAAAAAGGAAAAGTTATTGATGTGATGGAAAATATTATTTTATTGAAGAATGTGTTGTTGAAAATGAATAGAAGAATGAGAATGAAAAAAATAATGTGGGTCAAACAGGGGCTAAATAAGTTAAAACTGTAACTTCAAATGGAAAAATCATTTTTGAGCTTTAAACCATCAAATCAAAATCTTCTCATTTTCTGGAAAGGACAAAACTATATTTGGAGATATATGAAAAATAATTAAAATCGTGTGGACCATATGTTAGTCAAGTCAAATTATAATATGATCAAGTGGGCCATTATTCCAAAATTACTAAGAAAATAAATGTTAAAGGTCAAAGAAATCATTCATTTTGTACCACTAAATTACTGAATTGAATAATTATTATTGTTTTCATAATTTCATATAATTAGAGCTAAGTTTTTGCACGTTGTGATCATGCCCACAAATTCTGAGTGATCCAAATTGCATCTGTTTCCTGATAAATAATGAAAACAATTATCCTTCTTGTACATCAATGATTGACATCAACTTTGACACCCCGCCTATATGTAGAAATCTTGATCGTTGATTGAAAAAAAGTGTTGTGAAATCAATGGATAAAAATTTGCCAAGTCACATGATGTCAAAAATGCTGTCAAACTTGAGGTTAATGTAGCGTGATTGGAATGAAAACCACCAAGAATAATTGACAACCCCATCAATGATTTTCATCATGAAGAGTCCAATTTTGCAGTGGAATCGAGATGTGAGACAGGTAGAGCCATTTGAAGATGAATTGTTACCGTCGCCGAGAGTAAGGATAAGTCACACACATTCTCACAATAAAATATTTTTCATGGAAATTCAAAACTTTTTAACATACATTCTCCAAAAATTTACTATTCAAAAACTTTAAAAATAAAAAAAGGACAGACAGGAGATAGAAATTTCACTGTCAATTGCAAGTGTGTTGTTGGACACTTGTGTAACATCCTAAGTTCACAAGTACCACAGGTTTTTATTTATCCTCTCTATATAGAAAACGAAAACTTGCATAGAACACTTAAGACTTCAGATTCAATTAGCCGTAGAATGGAGAAAGGAAAGGAAGAATGCAAAGCTCATTGCTTAATCTTGCCATTTCCTATCCAAGGTCACATAAATCCTATGCTCCAATTCGCTAAACGTTTGAGGCATAAAGGAGTCAAAATCACACTAGCTGCAACGAAACATGTATTCAAGACTATGCAAGAATTTTCTGGTTCTGTTTCCGTTGAAACAATTTCTGATGGATACGACGAAGGTGGGATTTTGGCTGCAGTGAGCCAAGGAGAATATTTAGCTCGTTTTCGTCAAGTTGGGACACAAACTCTTGAAGAACTTATCGAAAGGCTTAAAAACTCGTGCTGTGCCGTTGATTGTATAGTTTACGACGCGTTTATTCCATGGGGTCTTGATGTAGCCAAGAAATTGGGATTGGTTGGTGCTGCTTTTTTCACACAATCTTGTGTTGTTGACCATATTTACTATCACGTGTACAAAGGGGATGTAAAACTTCCACTTTCAGAGAGTGAAATTTTGATTCCTGGATTGCCTCCATTAAAGCCCCCAGATATGCCTTCTTTTCTTTATGTTCATCGATCATACCCTCCTCTATTGGAAATGGTTGTCAATCAGTTCCAAAATATTGAAAAGGCAGACTGGCTACTTTTCAACACCTTCCACAAATTGGAGGAAGAGGTAAAACTACTTAAACATCATGTGAATATTGTTTCAATTTGCATATGCCTCTGTTTCTAAATTTGTTTTCCCACATTTTGTATTCAATGCTAATTCCTACTTTCGAGGGCGATATAATCAGAAACGAGCAAAGTATGCACATATTTACATTGATTCACTCTCAGTATGAGAACTATATCCCTTTGCTTTTCGTAGTTAAGTTATCATGATTAAACACATAAAATGAAGTTTAACAGATTCTTGCTGCATAGGTGATTGATTGGATGGCAAAGTTTTCACCAGTGAAGGCGATTGGACCAACCATACCATCGATGTACTTAGACAAGCGCATTGAAGACGACATAGAATATGGACTTAATGTCTACAAGCCAATCACTGGTGCCTGCATGGAATGGCTCGATAAAAGAGAATCCGAATCAGTGATTTATGTTTCATTTGGAAGCTTGGCTAAGTTGGGAAAAGAGCAAATGGAAGAATTGGCATGGGGCTTGAAACTAACCAATAAATACTTTTTGTGGATTGTTAGAGCATCAGAAGAATCAAAACTTCCTAAAGATTTTGCAGAAGAGACTTGTGAAAAAGGCCTAATACTGTCATGGTGTCCTCAGTTGGATGTTTTGGCGCATAATTCAGTAGGTTGTTTTGTCACACATTGTGGGTGGAATTCTACGTTGGAGGCATTGAGTTTGGGAGTCCCAATGGTGGCAGTGCCACAATGGACCGACCAAAGCACAAACGCGAAGTACGTGATGGATTTTTGGAAGATTGGAATTCGAGCGCTGCCAGATGAGAACGGGATGGTTAGTCGGGAAACGATTTNCACAATGGACCGACCAAAGCACAAATGCGAAGTACGTGATGGATTTTTGGAAGATGGGAATTCGAGCGCTGCCAGATGAGAATGGGATGGTTAGTCGGGAAACGATTTGCAACTGCACGAGGCAAGTTATGGAAGGCGAGACGGGAGAAGAGATCAAGAAAAATGCCACCAAATGGAAAGAACTGGCCAGAGAAGCAGTTGATAAAGGTGGAAGTTCTGATACAAACATTGAGGAGTTTGTTTCTAAATTAGTCCAAAAAGGTGAAAGTTCTAATACAAACACGGAGTAGTAAGATTCTAAATTATTATACTCTTAGTTACAGGTCCATGTTATCTTACCAATGAATTGTGGAAATAAAGGCCCTTGCCCCGTTTTAATGAGATTTTGGAATAATAATTTTTTGAAAAATATGTGGATAAAAGTAAAAAAAAAGTTTTAAATTTACATGTAATATTATTTTATTTAAAAAAATGTGTTTTTAAAATTAAAAGAAAAAAAAATGCATTAAATTAAAATGGAGCCCAAAGAAAGCTTTAAACATTCATCACAATTTTAATTTTACTGTAACTCAAAATATATGTTATATATAGGCTCTATTGGCCATTATTTGGCAAAAATAAAGTTTTGAATAGTAAATTTTTAAAGAATATGTGGTTAAAAAGTAAGAAATTTTTTTTGGATTATCTGCATAATATTTTATCGTATAAATGTATTGTTAAAAATGAGTATATATATATATATATATATAAAAAGAGTTTTTTGATAATTGTTATCAAGCAAGGGCATAATGCCAATGTTTTAAAACTCGTCTTGGGCATCGAATTGAAAAAGGATCAAGGTCAAGGGTCAAAGATTTGACCGGGGTCGAACTGAGGTTAAAATGTAGTAATAAATATTTATAAACATTTTAATTTTATTTTGAGAACCACATATAATTAAATTTTCACACCACCAATTCAAAATAAATACTAACACGTACAATATATGTTTTTAAACATAATAAAACTTATTAGTTTTTAATTTGTTGGATCACTTAAAAACTCATTCCAATTTTACTAAATAATTTGTGAGATTAAAAATAAAAGACATTTCGGCAATCGACAACAATTTCAACCATATGACATTGATCACGTTTCCGATTCAAGGCGGGATAAATTAGGGTCACAACTTATGTGACAAGACAAGGTCACAAAATATTATTAATGTTAATTAATATGACGTCTATTTGTCACAATTGTTTAATCTTCAAAAACTTTTGCAGTAGAGCATCTACACGTAACTAGGAATATTCTTCTTATTAGCTTCATCTTCGATTGGTTGGCTGTACCGACGCTTCTAGTATGCGCTTGAGGTTTATGGTGGTAGGGTTCATCAAAGATTACGTCCGATGGA